TTGTTTAACTTCACTTTCCAAATGTGAGGAAACTTACAGATGTGATTTTACTAAAAATATTTTCTCTTTCTTTAGAATAATTTTTCCCCTTTTCTACCCGTGATTCCCAGATTTGGTCTTTTCACAGTGTCTCATCCATTTTGAAAGCACTGCCTGTAATAGTGGCTGGCAGCCTCCACCACAGGATGAAAGTATCTTCCCTCAGCTGTGACAATGACAGCAGAACCTTTATAGAAAAATCCTAATTTATTGTACTTTCTCACCTTTTCAGGGTGAATTATACAGTGTGTAAATTATATCAATAAAAATATTCAAAAAACTTTGTTACACTGTGCAAGTGAAATATGCAATGATAGTGAAAAAGAAAAACCACTGCCTAAGCAGGTTTCAAAGACCTGGCCTGTTTGTAAAATGTGAGCCCATTCCTTGCATATCCAAGAAGCAACAAAGTTCAGTTTTTCTATTTGTGTGTTTTAGGTACCAGCTTCCCAGAGCTGAGGCATTTTCAGGAATGGCCAAGGATTCCACAGGTTCAGGAATTTTCTCCATATGCGGCACCAGCACAGCCTGGATACAGAGACTGGGGGGTGCTGGGATTGAGACACAGAGGCTTCTTTTCAGGTGGAAAAACAGCAGTCTTTATTTTGCTCCAGCTAAAGTCTTTTATACCTTTAAGTAGCTGACTTGAGAAATGCTGAGCAGCCAGATGTCAAGATTAGGGCATTGTGTACTGGGAACACTTCTGTGGAAAACCACCAGCCAGAAAGAACACAAACATCCTTGTCAATTACAGAGTACAAGGAAGTTCTGCTGTCTGTCAGGGGGAGTGAGGGCAGCCAGATCACAACACTGGTATCCTGAACATTAGCGTAAACACTGTAACTTTGGCCTTTGTATGTGTGGGATTTAACCTGAAGCCTTCATGCTGAAACTTGGGGTAGTCAGCTAGGTTTCTACTAGATGCTTTTAAAATCACACAGAGGTGTGCACAGCCCCAAGGGTTGATGTTGTAACTGCACAGTCCTGACCGTTAATTCTTCTGCCTTCCTAACCCAGTTTCCTAAACCTTGGATATGTGTCTAGAGAACATTTTGGGTTTTGTGATTTACAATACCTTTGAAGCTTATGCTGCTTGCCAAGGTCACTCACATAGAGGCAGGACAGTTGTAATGGTTGTCAACAAACTCAGAGCCTTAAATTCTGCTGTTTGGATATTGTGATGTGGAAACACAAAGAAACCCTACAGACTCACACTCACCATTGGGATGAGAACATGACTGTCAGTCTTGAAACAGCCTAGTCTCTCTGGAAAGGTTTTATCTGTCAGTCTGGAATAGTCTAGCATGGCTTCACTAAGGTGGACCTGTCTTTGAGTACTCAGATTTGGGATGGTGAATAGGAACTTACCAGGACCCTGTGAGCTTGCCTTGAAAGACCCCCCGCCCAGCTTGTTAAACGACTTAGCACGGGTAATGCCATTTTACAAGGCTTGTACTGAATATTCAGGGTTTGAACAAAGGGCAGTTTAAAAGCTGCCAAAACGAGCTAGAGACACCTGTGGCTGGGCCAGGGGAGGAACGGGAATACCGAGAATGTGGCTAGGCGCCATCTGTCCCAGGCGGGGAGGAACGGTGAAGTCTGCCCTAGATAAGAGCCAAGGCAGCCCATATCTGAATTCTCGGGAACTAGAGACTAGAGACCTTGTCTCGACCTGAACTCGGCCACATTCAAACTGACCAATGAAAACCCTGTAACTATGCTTCTCGCTTCTGTGCCGCGCTTTTTGCTCCCCAAAACATATATAAACCCATTACCCCGACCTAAAGGCGCACAAGTCCTCCGAGAGACTTTGTCGCCCCAGGTACCTGTGTATCTGAATAAACCTCTTGCTGTTTGCATCCGTACAAGTGGTCTCGCTGTTCCTTGGGAAGGGTCTCCCCAGAGGAAAGACACTCGTGGAGGGGCTTTCAGCCTGTGGTTCTTTCTTTGATTCTACGTTGTAGTTTGTCTAGACTTCTCTTAAAGTAAACCCAGTGTTTTTGTGAAGCTGTACTATTCCAGTCTTCTGGTCTACCAGAATCTGAGTGTGCAACTCTGCCATAGCAATGCACCACAGAGGGATGCCCAGCAGGGTCTCTGTCCTTTGATTCTGGCACTTCTTGTTTCTCTGAGGACTCTAGGTGACCATCACTTCCTCTGGCTTCATATGGTTTGCCCCCTGCCTAACTCAGGTCCATGCCTGTTGTTCTTGTTGTTTTGGATGTGGCCCACACAGATAGCCTCATTTTGATTTATTTCTTGGGAGACGGTGCTCTCAAATACAGTTACATTCTAATATATGAATGTTTAAGTACTTAAAAATGAATTTGAAAAATGTACTCTATCCCTGATAACAAATAAAGCTTATACTCCCTGCTTCTAGTCTGTTCACAAGTTAGAACATTGGTCTATAGGCTTGTGAATATGCTCTGTCTGTTCACAGCCGTTAGGAACATTCAAAGGTTTGAAAGCTCAAGACAGGGGACACCACTTTCAGTTTAGAATCTATATCATTAGGATGGTTGAGATCCACTGAAGGCTCTTAAATCAGGCCAACAGACATTACTGGAGGCAGATGCTCCAGTGTTCATGGGGAGGAGGAGCGTGGCTGATGAGGCAGTGTCTGCCCATCTCAGTGGACCTAGCTGAAACCAAGAACTTGCGTTGGCTATGAGTCATTTTGGAGCCTGGTAGCCATGCCAACCTCAGACTGAGTAATTCGAAGGTCTGCCTCTTCACTAACAGAAAAAGCAGTTCATTTATGGGAGCTCAAATTTGATTGAAATGTTTTTTTTAAAGCTATGCTAGAATTTTCTGAACGCTACATTAGTTCATGATCAGAAAGCTGTGACCTCCCGGAAGGATGATCTAGTGGCCATGGACTGGGCCATGAGCTGATGAGCAGGCTCATGTAACAGGAACCCTAGATGTTGGTCTGAATCTTTGATGATTTACTGGGTTAGGTGTAAAGTGTAGATGAAGGGGTCTGTGGACCAGGCTGTGAAGGGAAACAAGTCTCTGATGTGCATGGGGCTAAACTGAGGTACCATTTTGCATGGAACTGCTTACACTGGTGCAGAAAAGGGAGCAAACCTCCCTCTAGATCCTTATACAGATGGAGAGAGAGAGAGAGAGAGAGAGAGAGAGAGAGAGAGAATCTATGTGAGAAAGTGTGAGAGCATTTCTGTCACCCAGCATTTTGGCTATAGTGACTGTAACAGTTTTGAACATGGGAATTTCCTGAAGTGGGCTAGCAGTCCAGGCTGTGGTGCTGAACTGTATGTATTGGATGGCCCAGTGATCCCAGTCATGTGACAGCCTGTGGAAGATGATCAGATACCTGTGTCTTCTGATGATGTCACAGGGAGTGAGTGACACCTCTGTTTGTCTCTGTTGTTCCTGCCTCTGTTTAGTCCTGCCTCTGCATCTCTATTCTTGTTAGTGGTGCACAACATTTTGGTGCTGATTGATGCCACTGTCCTCATTGCTCTGGTATATTTGTGTTCTGCCTCCATTTCTCTCTTTCTTGGACATGGTGGAAAATACTCCTGACCCTCAAGGACAAGCTCAGCTCTCCTTTCCCCTAGGTTTCCATGCTTTTTCAGGTGTTACAGCCAACGCTCTGCTGATCAGTGTCTGTCAGATGTTCCCTTCCATACCTCCACACCCCAGCTGTCCCTGTCAAAATGACTCCTTCCATACTTCCACACCCTAGCCTCAGGGAAGCTGGGCAGCCATGTTGTCCCTTTACCGTAGCCACAGCAATTTTCAACACTCAACATAGTGGGTTCCTAGGTGGGTTCTCCCTGATCTCCATACCTGCCACACTGTCCTGGTTTTAAGAATTTGTAACCTTATCGGGACAATTGCAGAAGGGCAAATGAGTTGTGACTCTCTCTTGTTTCTCTCTCCACTGCAAATAAGTAGACCGAAAAAGAGCTAGCGAGAGTTTGGATAAAAACCAGGAAGAATGACAAAGAATATATCGTAAGTAACATACCCAGTACCTCTCTAGCAGAAAAGTATGTGGGTCCTGGGGTTTGGTTCTGGGTAGGAAGAATGAAGTTTGTGAGACGGAATACTGAGATTTTTTTCCACTGAAGGAAAGCGGGAAATGGTGTGGAGCCAAGATCTTGCATACTGCAACTTTAAAGTCCCTAGAGTCTCTTCAGTAATTCAGTGGAGGTCCAGGACCATCATAACCTCCTCCTCTTGTAATTCAGTGGAGGTCCAGGGCCATCATAACCTCTTCCTCTTCCGTAATTCAGTGGAGGTCCAGGACCATCCAAGCCTCCTCCTCTTCTGCAGCTCAGTGGAGGTCCAGTACCGTAATAACCTTCTCCTCTTCTGCAGCTCAGTGGAGGTTCAGCACCATCATAACCTCCCCCTCTTCTGTAATTCAGTGGAGGTCCAGGGCCATCATAGCCTCCTCCTCTTCTGTAATTCAGTGGAGGTCCAGGGCCATCATAGCCTCCTCCTCTTCTGTAATTCAGTGGAGGTCCAGGGCCATCATAGCCTCCTCCTACCAGACAGAGGTCAGGAAGAACTGTTCTCATGGTATCTCTTTCTCTCTCTAGAAGATCAGGAAATTTAGCACACTTGGTTTCCTGTCAAGATACTATTTACTGTGCATTAATCGCCAGGCAAAGGTCATTTGGGCTATAAAAGTTAGAGGTAGTGCAGACAGAGTGAGTGTTTCCTCCTCGCTCTGGTGAGATCACTAGCCTTCCTCTCCATCTCAAGGCAGTCCTTTCAGAAGAGCAAGACTATTTCTTGGTGAGCATTTCCAGTGTGGGCTGTTATACCTGGTGAGGGAGGCCAGCTGTCAGGGGAAAGGTGACTTTGGAAGTGGTGAATTCATGTCCTTAGCTAAGGGGCCGAGGGCTCTTGAGCATCATGGCCTAGAACCTTCTACCACATAGAGAGCCTACACCTACTCTCCAGAGGAGCCGTTCTTAACTCAGCCCTGTCAACTGTGGAGGGAGATCTAGTGCCCTCCAGACCCATGCAAGAAGAATTCTCTTGGGTAAAATTCCTTCCCTTGGAGAAATACCCCTCCCCATCCTCCATGCCTTGATATAGATATGGAATGTTTTCCAGGTTTGCATCCTTCTAAATTTACTCTAAAGCCAGTGCTCAATAAATTTTGTCTTTCAAAAAGAATGTGTGGATGAACACAGACAATCAACACAGTCGGGTATGTGGGTTGCTGGATTACAGGTCTGAGCCCCATAGCTCTGACTCCACTGTCCTCACTTGTATCTCATTCAGTGTTCACAGGAGTCACCATGGCCTGGTCCTCCAGCCTGAAGAGCCTCCTCACAGTCTTTGTCTTTACCAGCTTGGCTGTCAGCTCTGTGGGTAAGACTAAACATGGCATTCCTTTCTCCTAAAAATGGGAAGGGGGAGGTGAGCAGTCAAGAACCTTGAGGAAGTTGCCAACCAGACGAGACTCCTATCTAGCCTCTTATGACTTCTTGACTCCAGGAAAACATCAACTGTAAGGCTCTTGGGTTACCCTTAAAATAATGTATATTTCCACCTTGCAGAGAGTAACCAGTGTATGGTATATACATGTGAAAATGAACAATGTACTGAGGATACAGATGATTGTCTAGACTCTAATGGTTGCTTCAATCAAATACAGAGATTTGACACACCATGTAAGCCAACCCTCACACCTTGAGCGTCTCCAGTTTATCCTTGCTTGCCTTCCAGGATGAGACTGGGGGCCTGGGGTTCTGGGAGGCGGTGGAGATGGAGCATGTGCTTGTTGTAGGACCTGGGTTCTACATGATGAGGGCCATTCGGGTGTGACTCCCTTCTTATTTTCACACTATCAGGAATCTAATCAGGGAATCACACATTCTAAGTAAGTACTCTACGACCAGTCACTCCCTTAGTAGCAAATGGTCCCTCTGTTGGTTCGTTCTCTGAAACAGACCATTGCAGATGGAGGGGCTCTTGGAGAAGTGCAGTACTCATGCAGAGGGCATGAAGGGACAGGTTCTTTACCCCTAGCTCAGGAGGAAAATTTACTTAGTGGTTCAATTTTCTGCAGCTTCTGCTACAAACGAAACGTTTAAGCAAAAAGGGTGTTCTAAAGACCCATGTAGTGAACTGGAATTCTCAGCCACACTGGGGGAGCAACGGAGATTTAGCTTTGTGAACCGTTGCTGCACATCTGATAACTGCAACAAAGACAATATAACACGTGAGTACAGCTCCGGCCGGGGCCCCACCTGCTCAGGGCCCCTCTGCCTTTCCCTGGGTGCATCTCTCTGCTGATGGGCTGCAGCCGTGACACTTGCCTTCCCTTTTTGCTTGAAGCTTTCCTTTGTAAAGGGTCTGAGTTGGATACAAGCCCCTCTCTTGGGTATGTGTACACACAGCTGTATACACAGACTGGGTGACAGATGGGGAGCATTAATTGCTCCTGGGTCTATTCTCTAAGTAGGTTCAATGACTCAGTATGTTTAAATGCTTTGCTCTGCTCCTCCAGTTGAATGACTTTCCTCACCTTTTTTATTCCTCATCCTGGATTTTTGTGTTGTTGAGATGGAGTCTTGCATGTATCCAGGCTTGCATTATATTACTGAGATCAAGCAATCCTCCTTCCTCAGCCTCCAAAGTTGATGCAGCTGGGAGTACAGTGTGTGTGACCAGCTATATAGGCAACTCTGGGGAACCAATGGACATTTAGATATAACAAGTGATAATATCTATATTGCTATAATACTGATAATCTCAATCAAGAGGACACATGCAAGGGTAGATGCAAGTCCCTTGCCCGGGTGGGAGAATGAGTGACAGTTGAGTCTTTGAGACTATTGATTTAATTGTGTACCCCCAGCCTTCAGCTGAGAGATTTTTCTCACCTATTTAGTCCCTCATCTTTGTTTTTGTTGTGGACATGGAATCTTGCTGTGTTTCCCATCCTTGTCTTGAATTTTTCTATTCAAGTAATCCTCTTGCCTCAGCCTCCTAAGTAGAAGTATCTAGGAGCACGCACAAGCACACACACACATACACAGACACACCCTCTTTCTCTTGTCACACTGGCACTAATTCCTCACCCTTTTGTCAGCATAGTTTTAGATGGCAGACTGTCTCCTTTTCCAATATCTAGGAATTTTTCTCCTGCCATGTAGACAGGCGAGTGACTGAAGAGAGGCGTAGAGAGTTGGGTGCACAACCATCACCACAGGATCTCTGATACCCGTCTCTTGTTCTCTCCTCGTATGGTATTTTAGTTGTATTTTTTGTTGTTCAATCATGAAAGAACTATATGGTTTTGTATTGGGTGAGGTAGTGATAGCCTCAGCTATTATTTCCTGCCTGTTCCTCCAAATAAAAACCTATTCCTCTCCATTCAGTATCTCAGGCATCTAAAGAAGCCAATGGTATTCAATGCCTTGCCTACTATGAGGAGCCAGGCACGCAAGGTATCCTAAGTTTCCTCAACTGCACGGGAAACGAGACGAAGTGTGTTGCGATTATTGGCACAGGTATGATTATCTCCTCAAGGATGTTTATATTGTTAAAGGCACAGAGTATCAGCCATTCATCACTACCAATGCCACACCTAACAGGAGAAGGTAATAACTTTATCACCAGTCTGTAATTGAAAGTCTGTACACTGAGAACAGCATTGCTGTGTGACTATCTCAGGGTGTTTTGTCAAGCTGAGTTCTGCTCTTGGTATAAACTGTAGTCCTTCAGATGCCCAGGGTGTCTTGTGGTTCTTCAGATGGAGAATCTGCTTCCCAGCTCATTTTTGACATTTGGCGGCTCTCACTTTCTCTTCCCATGGCCTCCTTGTAGGTTGCCGGGGTTTTCCTAGCAATCCTCTTGTTTCCTCCTTGGAGAAGTGATGGGAGACAGACACAGAGTCATTAGAGGAGCAGAGATTTTTCAAGCCCTCATCTTAGAAGTGACATATCATTTCATCTTGTGCCATGTCAATCACATAGATGAACCCAGATACGACATAGGCGGATTCAATGGATTCAAGGCCTGGGCTCCTCTGCCAGGAGATGGGCATGATTTTAAATAAATTTAAAATAATTTATTTAACTTTATGTGCATTGGTATGAAGGTGTCAGATCCCCTGAAACTGGAGTTAGAGATAGTTGTGTATTGCCATGAGGGTGCTGGGAATTGAACTCAGGTCCTCTGGAAAAGAAACTATTGCTCTTAACCGCTGAACCATCTCTCCAGCTCCTGGACAGATTATCTTAGAAACTGTTACTCCTGTAGAGCAAAGGCAACAAGGGACCAAGTGTTTGTCCCTCTAAAATCAGATTGAGCCATTTTCTCAAGAAAAGAGGTGGCAGAAGAAGAGTTGAGATAGGGGGTGGGAGCTGAGGGAAAGGGGGGACTGAACTGCTTCCCAAGGAAGAGTCAAATTTGGGCATCTGTGTTGCTATGATATTCTGGAATAGGACCTTGATCAGAAGTGCACAGAGAGACGACACTTGAAGCCATCATCAATGTTACGATAACTCAGACCTTAACAATAAGTTCCCAGGTTTTGGTAAAGTCACTGATTTTAGTGAAGTATTTATAATTTCCTATGCAGGAGAAAAGTACATATTTGTGAGGGGCAAAGGTATATTTCAGGGATTAACTTCAAAAATAACTGTAGGGTTTTTCTTCTGGACTGTATGCTATGGGGATGAGCTAGAAACTCCTCATAAGAACGTGAAAAGTAGTGTGGAATTAGTGGTGTTTTAGGCACGGGTTATGTGGTAGACTGAGAGCCTGATGGGTCTGGAGACAAGCTATGTTTGTGTATGGAAAGAAGTTTACAGAAGTCTGGAGGAGAGCAAGGGAAGGGCCCTGTGTCTGGATGAGTTGAGATGAATAAAGAAAATGGGGTGTCACAGAATACAGAGGACGGTTGATGCCATCCTCAGTGGGACAGGCTTCTACCTCAGGAAACAGGCATGCATTGTGTTCCATAATTGTTCTCATAGAGAACCCAGTGCCCTCAAAGAAGGGATATCAGTTTTGGGGGGAATCACAATATTTTACTCATGGGAGCCTGGGTAGAGAAGACAGGTACCTTAGAAGGGTTTTTACCCAATAATTGAGGCCCTGCATCTGGCCTTCTTCCATGTGTAACAAACTCATCTCTCCTAGTGAGTGGGAATGCAGATGCCCCAGTGTTAGCCTTGTGTCTGAGATGCAACTGTCTCTAAATGGTTCCTTCTATACTGGGGAGACAATGGGACCAGAGGACAGTAAGGCTGGGCCTGTGTATGGATGGAATAAAGCTGGGCTCATACATTTAGTCAAGAGGTAGAAGTTGTGGACTCTGGATCATTCTGAGCACAGTTTCCTTTCCCAATGGTTGTTGGTGAGGAGGGCGGAAGAGACAAGAGGAGACTAACTCTTGAGTCTTTTTCTTAGCAGCGGGAAGCAGTCATCCCTTTGCCTTTGTTATCGCTGGGATGGGCTGTGCGACAGAAAGCGCCTGCAACAGGAGTATAACTGTTCTCAACAGCACAAATATCCTCACCTTCTGCTCGAGTGAGTTAGCTCGTTCTTCATCAGTTCCGGATAGAACTGGCCTTCTGCCTGCATCCATCTCAACAGTACCAATGCTGATTGTTCTCCTCCTGCTGAAAGTCTTGCTTTGATCATTCAGGCTCAGGAAATCCCACAGTTCTACACACACGTTTGGAGGGCATCCTTTAATGTGGGGGAATGAAAAGCTGGTGATTTTCAGTTTTACTGAATTTCAAAATTTGTATGCATGTGTACACGTGTGTGTGCACAATGCATATATGTGTATGTGTGTGCATGTATGCATATATGTGCATGTGTGTGCATGCATGTATGCACATATGTGTGTGCGTGTGTGTATGTATGCACATATGTGTATGCGTGTGTGCATGTATGCATATATGTGTATGCGTGTGTGCATGCATGCCTATATGTGTATGTGTGTGCATGTATGCATATATGTGTATGTGTGTGCATGTATGCCTATATGTGTATGTGTGTGTGCATGTATGCCTATATGTGTATGCGTGTGTGTGCATGTATGCCTATATGTGTATGTGTGTGTGCATGTATGCCTATATGTGTATGCGTGTGTGTGCATGTATGCATATATGTGTATGCGTGTGTGTGCATGTATGCCTATATGTGTATGTGTGTGTGCATGTATGCCTATATGTGTATGCGTGTGTGTGCATGTATGCATATATGTGTATGCGTGTGCGTGCATGTATGCCTATATGTGTATGTGTGTGTGCATGTATGCATATATGTGTATGTGTGTGCGTGCATGTATGCCTATATGTGTATGCATGTGCGTGTTGCTGGTGGAGTCCAGAAGAGGGTGTCAGATCTCCTTCAGCTGGAGCTACAGGTGTTATGAGATGCCTGATGTGGGTGCTGGAAACTGAACTTTGGTTTTCTGTAAGAACACGATTTTAATTACAGAGCCATCTCTCCAGTCCCCTGTGATTGCTTTTGAAATGACTCCTTCCTTCACTCTTTGTAGCGTGTCCAAGATGTTTGAGATGACATTCGTGAGATTCTCTTTAGTGCTACTCTTGCCTCCAACCATCCCTTGATTATTATTTATATTCATATTTGTAATTGAAATTGTAATTGTAATCATGTCTGATTATTATTTATATTCATATTTGTAATTGACTCTTGCTAAGAAAATGAATTTGGATGGATAATTCATGGCTTTGGAGGACGATTTCTCACAGTTTGTCATAACACAGCTCAAGAAATTTATAGCTAGAGGTGGTGATACATGAGCACTCAGGAGGTTGAAGCTCGTAGCACTCAGGAGGTAGAGGCAGTAGGATTACTGCATATAGGAATGTAGGAGGACATCATGTGCTTTATAGTGAGTTCCTGTCAGGCCAGACTATACAACAAGACCTTGTTTCAAAAAAATAGAATAAAATAAAAATAAGATATTACCAGGCCGTGGTGCACTTCTTTAATCCCTGCACTTCAGAGACAGAGGCATGTGGATCTCAGTTCAAAGCCAGTCTGGTCTACAAAAAGCTAGTTACAGGACAGGTCCCAAAGCTACAGAGAAAAATAAAATAAAATAAGATCTAAATAAAACAGGAAGTCAGGTACCCCTGAAACTCTATCACCATGAGCATGGAATCATCACCATCTATTCTGCATATTTCTGCATCTTAGAGGAATCAGCCCCAGGGTACAGGCAGTGGCTGTCTGTTAAAGAAGTTATAAATACTCGCTTTAAATTATGAAGATATTTTCTCCAAGATCTTCAAAAGCTGTCCCCTCTCCAGGCTGGGTTTGGGCCATTGGCAGCTTGCACTGTCCTTCCTGTGTGCCAGTGAGGCAAGGGGACTCCAGGAGAGAGAAAACTTGCATGGAACCCAAACTTTACCATGTTCTTATGGCCCTGACCTCCGACAGAATAACCCTGCGCAAATGGACTCTCAGCTCTCAGATTCGGTTTCCAACAGGGTCCAGCACATCTCCCAAGGTTTCAGGAAGGAGAAGAGTGTCCGATGGCTACTTGGTATGTGAGAACTGTCTCTCTGCATCCACCAGGCCCTGCTGTGATTCCCCTGCTGTAGACTTTCTCCTTCTCCCCTGATACCAGCTTCAAGGCTTCTCCAAGCTCAGTCTAACGTCCTCTGTGGACTGAAGGGAACACGCTTCCTCAGGCCTGTCCACAATCCTTCACACTCTGGATGCTCCCCATCTTCGTGGGGTGGATTTTATGTCCCAGCAGGGGCTGTTTCTGAATATGAGAGAAGACCAGTGCTTAGATTTCTGTTTGAAGGATATACACTTATTTAAACTAGCAAGGTCCATTGTGTGAACCATGGTATGGCGGAAAGATTATATCTATTAGATGGTTTGACTGACCCACTTTAATTTCAATGGAATGCCCAGAGATAGCGGGTCCCATCTGAAACCGCAGTCACTATATGTCCTTAGGAATCTATGGGTTACTCTTGTCTTTTGCCAGGAAGCTGGAATTTCTGTTAGCTTGATTAAACCAGGGGGCATGTAGAGCAAACACACTCACTGGGTCCTAGCCCAGGGAAGGGGTAAGTTTGTCTTAGCCTCTACCCTGAGGGCAGTGTGAACACTGCTGTGGGGTGTGCTAAATTCCTACGCCACTGAGGGTGTGCTGAACTCTACACTGCTGTGGGGTGCCCTTGACTCCTACAGTGCTTTGGTGTGCCTTCGACTCCTACACTATGTGGGGTGAGCTTAACTCCTACACTACTGTTGGGTGTGCTCAACTCCTACACTGTAAAATCTCGAAAAAGCATGTTTTGTTTACATTTTGTTGACTGTTTTGGATTTCTGTTGCAGCCGTAACAAATCACAGTAAAACCAGTGGCTTGAAACAGCACAAAGCCACAGTTCTCAGGAGAGTCTGAACCGAGTTTACCTGAACTAAAGTTCAGGTGTCTGCAGAGCTGGTTACTCTGTGGTGGATCACGTGGAGACTCGTTTCCTGTCTGTACGGAGGTCAGGGATCACCTGCATTCCTTTACTCTGAGTTCCCTCCTGCATCGTCTACACACACCCTCCACTCTGAGTCTGGCTCACAGCCTCTTCCTCTGGTGCCCATTCCTTCTCCTCCGCGGACCCTGCTAGCTGCTCCGTGTAGTACAGGGCAGTGTTCCCGTCTCAGGGTCCTTACCTGCTTCTGCAAAGTCTCTCTCGCCATCTAAGGATGGCACAAATGGTGTCGGGGTTAAATGTGTGCTTATTTAAAGACTAGAACTCAGTTTGATCATAAGACCTACCAATTAAAAATATCTCAACGTTCTGTAAGGTATGCATCGGTGAGACTGGTTGAAACCGAGTGTGGCTCTGCAGATGGTCCGGTACTGGGGACCTTACTAAGGGCTGTGGCCATCTTTGGGAACAAATTCAGTTGACACAGAGCATGTGAGAGCATCGTGAGAGCAGTCCTTTGACAGAGTTACTGCAGGAGCTTTTCTCCAAGCAGCTCTGGACAGGACACACGTGTGAGGTTTGGCCAAAGCAAAGAAGCTCCCTCCATTGCCTTCTGATGAGGAGAGAAACACCGTGACACACATCATAGACCATCATGCCAAGAAGCACAGTCTGCTTTGGTGGCCTAAGGATCAAGGAAGGAGTTTCTTTGCCTGCAGTTTTCTCTGGTAGTTGCCACTCCTTCCTCTCTGCACTCAGAGCAATGACATGGTAGTGGCAATCAGGAATCTCTTTGTCACTTGGGTGTGTTTCTACAATAAAGGTTTAGTGTTTTGCCAGCTCCAGTCCCACCCTTCTAGCCAATGATACATGAAGCACACAGTTGGGAAGCTCCCTTGGTGCCTGTAGCTATCATCTCACAGTAGCAAACCCATGTCTGACACCATGTGGGGGTTGAAGGAAAATGGTCCCCATAGGCTCAGAGGGAGTGGCACTATCAGGAGGTGTGGCCTTGTTGGAATAGGCGTGGCCATGCTGGAAGAAGTGTGCCGCTGGGGGTGGGCTTTGAGGTCTCAGATGCTCAAGCCATTTTCTTCTTGCTGTCTGCTGCTCTGGATGTAGAACTCTCAGCCCCTCGCCAGCATCATGTCTGCCTGCCTGCCACCATGTTTCCCATCAAGACAATAACGGACTGAATCTGTGAAACTGTAAGCCACACCCAGTGAAATGTTTTCCTTTATAAGTGTGACCCTAACTATGGTACAGCAGAATCCCCTACCCATTCTCTGCGGCTACCATGCCCGCATCTGAGTATCCGCTGACCAGCAGCCCGTGGATCTGTGAAGACATGGGATGAGCCTCTGTTCTTTGGGAGACAATACCTCACCTGCTCTGGCTTCTCCCCATCTCTGCTGCACACATGCTCACAAGACACTGTGATCCCTAGCCTTCCTCTCCTCTCCTGACCCCAGAATTCCTCAGTATGGTTGTCTCTGCATTTGCACCTCTGCCTGGAAGCTGGAAAGCTTGTCATGGCTGCCAAAATGGGTGTGGGGCAGACTGGGTGAGAGTCTGGGCCCTTCAGTACCACAGATGGATGGCAGAAACAAGACCTCACGTTCTCCTGATTCTGAATGCTAGAAGTGTGAGGTTTGGTCCTAGGAGAAGGGCTGCTTTCCTTGAAGATCCTGCCCTCAGGTTTTAGCTGACCTTCTTCCTGTATCTTTATGTTGTCTGCTTCCTGCATATTTGTTATATGGGCACTAATTTCTTTGTTTGTTTGTTTGCTTGTTTTTGGGATGGGAGGTTCAAGTCAGGGTTTCTCCATGTAGTTTTTGCTGACCTGGAACTTGATCTGTAGACCAGGCTTGCCTCAAATTCACAGAGACCCACCTGCTTCTGCCCTCAAGTTCTGGTTTTAAAATGTGTGCCCCAACACCTGCCCTAAACTCTGTTCTTACAAGGTGGCCTTCTTATAAGGCCACCTGCTGTGTTAAATGAGGATCTATACTAACAACTTCAGGGAAGACTGTCTCCAAAAGCAGTTATGTTATCAGCTATGGGGGCAATTAAGTTTTCAAATTACTTTTGAAGTATATCTGACAGAAGATTAACACTTATAATTTACAAATAAGGAGAGAGAGAGAGAGAGAGAGAGAGAGAGAGAGACAGGCTAATAAACTAAGAAGAGATGCAAATGGCATTCAATACCCTTAACCACCAT